CCAGGTTCTTCAGTGCTTTTTAGGAGCACTGTACGAGTGTTGTCTTCCTAGGGTATGGGATTTCCGGGGGTAGGATGTGTGGTCTTTGGTTGTAGTCGCTAAGGTGCAACTTAATTCCACTCACTTGAGCTGCAGGATTTAGAAAAATCCTTCTGTATAAGTGTGTATATTTGTGTCAGTTGTATGTCAGAGAACAATAATTTTTTAATTATTATTGTCATGGCGAGATTCTTGGGGCTGCTCTGTGCACGGTCAGGAGTTGGACTTTGATGCTCCTACTGGCTCCCTTCCAATTCAGGATATATTATGATGATTTCCTCTAACATATTTATCTGAAGAAGGTGTTAATGAGTAGAGAAGTGCTTTATGATAAATGTAACATTTGTGAGTTTGTCAAACTAACGCCTCTTCTTATAATGTTAGAGAATTGATCGTCTCCTTTTTAAGGAATATTTTAGCGTCGGGCACTCCTGAGTTTTTCAAATATATTCTGAATTATGGTTCTTTTATTCCAGCGGTGTTAAAAATGAAAGGTTGAGATTGGTTCCATCTCTGGGGGAACAATTTTTGAAAGCTGAGAGTTTGATGCTTAGTATAGCAAAAAGGAGGGGATGGAAGTGGTTGGTTCTGCTGGAAGAAATCCTACAGCTACTGTGAGGAGGGGCTGCTGAGCTGAGGGTCTTCACCAGCCTGGCCATGCTGAGTGCTTGAAGCTCTGTGTGTTACTGGGTGGTTGAAGTTGATAAATTATGTGAACATGACTGTCAAAAGCTTCTGTAACCTTGCAGAATCTTACTGAGGTATCAGATCACCCGGGCGGCTTTATGGAAAGCAGTGCAGATATTTGTTGCATCAAATATAAAAATTTCTAAGACTGTGCTGTGAGACTGGGGAAAAAAACCAAACAAACAACCCAGCAATTGCTCTGACTTGATTTGCAGATGGTGCTGTCAGAAAAAGTGAACCAGCTGATGGAGTGGACCAGCAAGAGATCCGTGATCCGAATGAACGGAGACAAATTCCGGCGCCTGGTGAAGGCCCCTCCCAGGAACTACTCAGTGATTGTGATGTTCACTGCCCTGCAGCCCCACAGGCAGTGTGTTGTGTGCAAGTATGAGCTCCTTTAGAACATTAGAACCTGAAAATCATCTGATGCTTTGTAGGACACTAAATTTTAGAGCAGGTTTGCACTTTGACACAGGTGGCAGGAGTACACATGGGCAAGTTACAGTAGGATTGGCTTTGCAATTTAATGGGTGTAATGTGTTTGTGAGGAAACATAATCCTCAGATTTATCTCCCTCCTAGTGTAATCCCTGCTTTGCAGAAACAGTGTTCACTCTGGAGAAAGACACAGTGAAAGCTCAACTTTCCAGATATAAGCTGCTGAAGAAATGTTTGTAGAATTATTGCTGGCTGTGGAGCTTAAATGTTGTTCTTATTTAATATATTGCTTAGCACTTATTTACAATTCCAATATCCTGGATCCTTACCTGTATTATAACTTTTCTGTATTAACCTGGAGGTGGCAGAGGCCTGTAAGGGTGATTTTTATACCTAGAAAGGTCCCACCTGGCCACATTTGGGTGCTCTGTGGACTGGCAAATCATGAGCAGCTGAGTTCCAGTTCATCTTTCATTTAGAAAGTTTGTGTTTGTGGACTCAACAAATCTTGCCCTTCCTTTTAAAAAAGCAGATGGAAATGCTTCCCCTGATGGTAGATGGGTTTCTGTGCTTAAATGATTTCATTAACACTTAAACTTTGTTTTGAACCCCAGAAAATGAATGGGGTGGGTGTGGGAGGCACCCATGGATGGGGTGGGTGGGCACAGCTCCCTCAGCTGCTGGGGACAAACCCATGGCACAGCCTCTCACTTGGTGTTTTCCAGGCAAGCTGATGAGGAGTACCAGATTCTGGCAAACTCCTGGAGGTATTCCAGTGCATTCACCAACAGGATTTTTTTTGCTATGGTAGATTTTGATGAAGGCTCAGACGTCTTTCAGATGGTAATGTCTTTTTCTGTTCTAACATTTAGTTGGGGTTTTGGGAAAAAAAGTAAAATGTTAAATAATTTAGTGTAACAGTGAACAAAGGAATGAAAAGTTAAAAGCTGTCACTCCTGAAAGAAAGATGCCCTGAGCATGTTGGTAAGAATATTAACAGAACTGACAGATGTGGAATAGGTACAAGGAGTGAATTGGTTTCTTTGACTTTTTTCCCTGGGTTTGTCTCCTGTAATAACTTATGGTGTAATTCTTAATGGAATTCTTCTGTGGTACATGAAGAGGCAAGATGGAAAGCACTGATGTCATTAGGAGGGGCTATTACAATTTTTAGATTACTAGAGAATGATAAATTAGGCTTTTGGTATTTCTTTTCAAGTACCCAGCCATTTTTCTGTTCTATTATCGTTGTGTGACCACATTTTTTTTTGTTCTCCAGCTGTGAGAACATTCCATGTACACTTGGAATTATAGGTCACATTAATAGTTCATTACAGTCTTGCAGATGTTAACTTTTTTTTTTTTAAGAGGTATTAATCTCTATTTAACAGCCACACAGTTTAGGCAGTGATACTTTATTAAATGGAAGCTTTTGAACTGGAGAGTTGAAGAGAGATGTCTTTTTATTACTCTTGGTAATTTTTTCCTTAGTGTTACATGAAAAATGTATTCATCAAGCTATGGCCTTCCTAGAATGCCATATTTTAGACTTGTAGATTGTTATTTTGGAGGTTTTTTTATCAAAAGTAGGGTTTGGAGACAAAACAGATTCAAAAAGATGTGCATGAAATACAGAAATGCAAGCTGTGTGCTGCCTACTGTTTTTTTTTTAAAGTCACAGCCATTAAATCAAAGAGCTAACTTTTCTGATTTAGAAACAACATTGCAGGCCAGAAATGGCACAGAATTGTGTCACTAAGTAGTCCTTTCATGTCTGTATCCTGTGTGAACTCTCCCTGCAGCTGAACATGAACTCTGCCCCCACTTTCATCAACTTCCCTGCCAAGGGGAAGCCCAAGCGCGGGGACACCTACGAGCTGCAGGTGCGCGGCTTCGCGGCGNTGTGCTTCAGGTCCCTCCCAAGCCAAAGCAGCCTGGCATCTCTGATCATCAGACACCAGCATGAGCCGGTAACTGTTCTTCTCCCACCCCATTTCTCTGGTTACTTCTGCTGTAAACAGGAATTAAATACAGAGACACGGCTAGAACACCCCAAATCTGGGTCCGAACTACCCCCAGTCTGGGTCCCTTCCACCCCAAATCATTCTGGGATTCCCCAAGAATTCATTAGGAAAAGTCACAGTGATCCTGGGATGCTGCCTGCTCCTGCAGAGCCTCTCCAACTCAAACTGAATTTAATTTCTTCACAGCTCTCAGGGGTCACAGGAGGAGCAGTGCACTGGCAGGATTCAAGCCATAAAAATCCTTTAGTGGGGAAAAAAAGGGATCTTGACTTGGTCATTACAAGTCAGAGGTAAAGGGATATGTGCTGTGTAGTGGGGTTTGTTCACACACATATCTGTCTAAATGAAAACTCACTGTTCTGGACTTAGCCTTTATCCACCACTGATCTCTACAGCAACAACTGGGACTGTGTAAAATTACTTGGAGTTTTTACACTATTTCTTACACTTCAGCAGAAGCAGAGCACAGAGGAAACCCAGAAGAGCCAGACAGGTTTCTAATACATTTATTAGACCAGGAATGCCACTGTCCAAGTGGTAATCAGGGAACAAATGCCACTACAGGACCATTTCCTCAGTGAAACTCTAGAGCAGTTCATTAGAAGCAGAGCTGTTACTCTCTCCACTCACTGGGAGTGACTCTGCCAACAGGTGAAATGCCCCACTCAACATTCAGCGATGTGAACACCTGCAAAGGGACAAAACCCAAGATTACTAACTCTGAAATCAAAAAGAAACATTCAGACATAGGGTTGTTTTTATTGTTTTCAGCTGTTGTTATTAGAACACAACATCTCATTAACTTTCGAATTAAAGAAGTAGAATATATTTATATTGAATGGTATCTCAAAGTTTCAGTTTTCTCTTTGAAAATATCCAACTGTAGAGGAAAGAATACGGAATGTAACACCCCACCACTATGTTGGTATTTTTATCTTACAAGTTATATCTTTATCTTATAGTTATAATTTTGTCTTATAACATATCTTTATAAGTTTTGCTGCTGTACCTGTAGAGGTTTGAAATCCCAAGTAAAATTGAGAACACCTGTGTTTCTGATACATTTTCAAATCAGGCAACAGACTGATGCAGAAATTTGAGTAACAACTCAAAACCAAGCTGGCAATTAAAAGAACTTTCCCCTCTATCACATCACTGCTTATGCAAGAAGCTCCTAAATTCTGACCACTGAATTTATTTCAAACAGGCAAAAGTGACACTTTTAAAGCCTGCAGCTTGAGTCACAAGGGAGTGGTGACAAAACCAACTTACATAGGCCCAGACAGCAGTGAACATGGAGGCTCCCCCGAGGAGGACCATGGTTCCATATTTATCGTGGAAGGTGGGCTCGTGCTTGCGATGAGCTCCTCTCACTGCAGTGTGCTGGATGCCACGAGCTGAGGGTGCCAACAAATACAGAAATCAACTCAAATACATCCTCAAACCATCCCCAGTCCTCATCTCCCACCAACAGAGAGGCAAGTGTTAAAAGACAACAAATGCTGGAAAAATATTAATTTGGATTTTATTCATCTGGAATTACTCCAAAACATGGGATATACAAAATACTTTAATTTTTTTCAGCTCTCTCAATTTCTCTCTAGAAAGTTATTTCTTAAGTTTAATTCCAGTAAAAAAAAAATTCCCTAAGGTAACCTTTTCTTTAGTATGTTTTCTTTAGTATTACTGTTTCTCTAATCAAATATTTTGTTTAGTGCTTAGCATTTTTAGATTTCTATATGCAAATATCTATCCTGGCAGAATGTGTACCCAGGCAATGTCAGGATGAAGCTCACCATCAAATTATGGGGTAATTCCTGCCTCATTCCCTCAGGATTTGTTTTTTTGAAGAGAGGGGAGGAAGGAAACTGAAATAACCCGTGGGCATGAGATAAATAATAGAGAAAAAAAATACAAAGTGATATCTTTAGATGATGTACATTGTAAGTGTACACTATAAAAGGTGCACTTATTAAAGGGAAGGCAACAGTGAAAAATCAAAACAACAGGTACAAAAGACAGATTGCCCATTACTTGTGTACAAAGCATTTGATGAGAGGGTGATGTGTGCATAAAGATATTACAAAATAAAACCTTTCAGTCCCAGGTCAACGGTTTGCATTTTTACCCCACCGTGATTAGAGAAGATGCTGGTGATACCCATGTTACTACACCCCTCGCATGCTCTGTAAGGCTGCACAAGGCGTTTATTTAAACACAAAAAAGCCTGAGTATCTACAGAGATACATTTATTTTAGGTGCCGGCATGGGATGAGCCCATGGTGCCGCAGGAGCAGAGAACAGACCCTGCTGGGTCCGTATCACTGAAGGGCCAACTCTAACCTTGACTTTAAGGGCTGGGTATTGACTGCCCCTTGTCACCGCACGCTACCAGGCCAGAATGTGCCTTTAGTACCAGGGAAAGAAAGCACCAAGGAATGTGCTTTTGTGTACTACGTAAAGAAAGCACCAAGAACCAACTGAACAGACCCTGCGGGCTCTGCATCACTGAAGGGCCAACTCTAACCTTGACTTAAGGGCTGGGTATTGACTGCCCCTTGTCACCGCACGCTACCACGCCAGAATGTGCCTTTAGTACTAGGGAGAGAAAGCACCAAGGAAAGTAGTCCTACACCAGAAAGCAACTAGGAGATTAAAAAAGGCTGAAAGAAATTTAAAAAAGCGGGAGGCGAAGGACGCCAGAGCCGCCCGCAGCCCCCGAGATGCCCTCACGACCGTCCCCGGTGCACAGGGCTGAGGGGACAGCCAGCACAGGGGAGGGCACAAACCGGGGAGACCTCTGAGGAACCCCCCACACCCCGAGAGCCGTCCCCGTGCTTACCGACGAGGCTCTGCGCAGCCCTGGCCAGCGGGAACATGATGAGAGCCGAGCGCNGCCAGCACCCCTTTCCCTCATCACCCCCTCTGCAGGCCCACCTGGGGATCATCACTTGTGTTCTGTGCCTCCTGAGCAGCTCTAAAGGGCTCATCCACACAATCTAGTTCAGACTCACGACTGCACCTTTAAATTTCCTTACAACCTCTTTGCTGGTATTTTGTGTAATGCTGTATTTGAGGAGATGGTAAAACTCATGTCCTTCCTTCTTGCTCTCTGTTCCTGTGGAAGAAAAACAATCTCTAAAAAATTAAGCAGGGTAAAGTTGTGTAAAACTGTAGTTACAGTACTGGTGAAAGAAGCATTGCTTACCTCCTGAGTCAGATTTATTACCTAGAGAAAACGTGTGTGCCATAGTTTTTCCACTCAATGTGTTGTGGGGTTTTTCAGCAGGATTGCAGGTATGATGTCTAATGCTGCTGAGAGAAAATAATTGCACTGTCCTCTGCTCAGATCCGTGTGATCAGGCCCCCAAACTATGCTGGACCCTTGATGCTGGGGCTGCTGCTGGCTGTCATTGGAGGCCTCGTGTATTTGCGGGGCAGCAATCTGGATTTTCTCTACAACAAAACTGGCTGGGCCTTTGCTGCTCTGGTGAGTCACTTTTGTTTCCCTGGAACACTGACTTTTGTAGCAGTTCAAGTTTTCAAAAGCTTCTGTATTCCAAAGTTCTTAAAACTGGTTGAGGAAAAGGGAAATGAGGTACAGTTAGCTTTGCTTTTTCATAGATCGATAACATTATGTGATCTTAGTTCCTTCAGCTCACTGAATGCTTGATTGGATGCCTTTTGCACAAAGATAAAGTGGAACAATCCTTAGTCTGTGTTCCAAACCAGTACATTTTGGTATGAAGTGAAAAGATATCAGGTTAAATTAAAAATAAAAGAGAATCCTTATTAAACAGCATTTCTTCTTTCCTTTTCAGTGTTTTGTGTTAGCAATGACATCAGGCCAGATGTGGAACCACATCAGAGGGCCCCCCTATGCTCATAAGAATCCCCATACAGGACAAGTGGTGAGTTTGCCTTAATTTTCTTTTCTGCATTTCTGTTGAATTTCTGCAGAATAAGGCTGATACTAAGAGACAAACCAGAGTGCAAATTCAGCTTTTGGCTTCTCTCTTTGTGAATGAGACCAACCTCTCCTGCAGTGAGCAAGGCAAATCACCATGTCTTGCTCATATATTGTGTCTCCAATGGTGAAGGGATGTGGTAGCTCTAAATTGCTTACAGCACAGTAAAGGTATTTATAGGTTCAGTCTTAGATGCTAAAATTCCTGTTGCTGAGCCTGGCAATTATATTTTAACCTGGTCTTGTTAACTCACACACTCATCTCATTACTTCCATGTAAAACCATTTTTCCTCAAGATTCTTGAGCTAAATTAATATCTAGTGACCTCAGATTTATGAAATCTCTTTCTTGAGAAAAACGTCTTTAACATTATTTGAAATATACAGCTCTGTTCATAACATAGAGTGAGATGCACTGTGCAAGTAGTCCCAGTGTTCTGAGAGCATTGCATCTGCTCAGGGGCTTACACATCACATACTGGCATTTTTCATGTTTTTACTCAGGGAATTTATTTGGAATTAATTTGGTGAAATGTCCTTTTGTGCCTGGTTAGATGGGTCAGGCCCTCTCTGTATTCTTCTGTAGAAAATGGATAAAACTTTTATTTCCTACTTAGATACAACATCATAGCCATAATAGGGATTGAAAATTGTATTTTATTAACAAATTTCAACATTTCTGTTAACCCAGAAGTGAAAAAGATTCCAAATGCATGGTTCTGGAGCCAGCTGAGTCAGGTTCACACAGAGATTGAAGGGATTGCCCCTAAGCTAAGCAGCAGTGTACTCAACCTAAGAATCCCAGTCAGGGAATGGATCAGATTTGGATCACACTGGGATGCAGGAGGGACGAATCTTGGGGTTTTTCACACTCCAACTTGGCTGGATTGTGAATCTGGGCCACAAAGGTTGTGGCACAAGCTGCTCTTGCACATGCTGTAATCTGAATGAGGCTGATTGTGCAGGGTAAGAGAGGAAGGATCTTTGCTTCTGTTGCAGCTCCCCCAAAAATCAGTGATCAACAGCAGAAATTGTTCATGCTCCAACTTCTGCTCTCTCCTGAAGAAAAACAATGCCAACCCCAGTTCCAGCTCTGTAGCTGCTGTTAATCATGTCAAAGTTGTCTCTAAATCTAATTACTCTTGGTCTCTTACAGAATTATATCCATGGAAGCAGCCAAGCCCAGTTTGTGGCAGAAACACACATAGTTCTGCTCTTCAGTATCCTTCCTGGGAGAGGCTTGGGGCTGGTGACAGATTTTTGGTCAGCAAATTCTGCTGCCTTTTCTGTGGTGCTTTGTCATGGTTTAATTGCCACCTAACACTGATGCAGAAGCTTGTAAAACCTTTCTGCACTGCCAACTGTGCTTTTCCTTTAAGTTGAATGGAAAAATATTTACTGCTTTCTCACCTTCTAATCTTATTTAAGTACCAAGTTGAATACATCACTAAAATTGTGGCTCTCTGTGCAATCAGAAGTTTCTTCAGGATGCTCCCTGTTCCTTTGTGGATGTTTCTTTTCAGTGTCACCTATTTATTGTTTTGCAGTTGAATTCATTCCTCTAGCACTGATTTTTTATTTCTTTGCTTACCTTTTTATAATCTTACCGTTTGTTCCTACTAATGACACAGGATTTTGCCATGTTGTCAAGAAAGGCAAGTGGAAATTTTCAGATTGAGAGCTTTTACTTTTCTCATTTGTACAAAAAATGCTTCTTTAGGGTCTTAAGAATCCCTTAAAATTCAATGTTCTGGTTTTCTATTCCCACATGTGTGTCTTTGATCCACCATTTGCAACTTTGGTCATTTCGGGAGCCTTTCTTCTGTGTCTTGTCACCTGTATCAGCATTCCTTTATTTTTTATTCAGGATTTCTTCTATTGAATTTTTTTAATTTAAAACAAGGACTTAGATGATAACTTATGATCTTTTTTTATTACTGTATTTTTGATCCACTTGGTCAAATTCGAAGTAGAAACTTTTTTGTTGATATTTATTTGCTGTCCATCAGACCCAACCCACCCATTGCTGGAGACATTTTAAATCATTAAATTTGCTGAGGTTTCTGTGGGTTCAAGAAACTTTCCTGCTGTGCTGAAGGTGGGCTGTGTCTGAAATTGAAAGATTCCTGATGCAGTCAATGATAAGAATTTTTCCTTTCAGGAGGAGACTTGGGCCTGGCCATTAGTAGTGAAATGGAATGGAATCTTTGGGAATTCTGGCTTTCATTCCACTGGATTCACTGCTTTGCTTTGCAAGGATTAATTCTTGGCAAATATCAGGCCTTTTGTGTTGTCTGTGCTTCTTTAATTTTACAATCCTTATTTTTTTTTAAATTTGAAGAATTAGAAAAGAAATATTGCCATTTGAAAGACAGCCTTGGATGTTGGATTAAATCCTGCATGTGTTTTATTTGTTCTCTTGGCTGAGTGAATGCAGAAGCTGAATTCTTTTGGGGATTTTCCAGTGGAGAACAGCAGTAGGAGTGGACCAAGCTCTTGGGAAGGAATGTTGCTGCATTACAAACTGAGATAATAAATGCATGGTTTTCATTTTGCCTGAAGACTTTCCAGTTTGTATTTTAAGCTTTGCATTTATTTTCTCCTAAAAGCTGACATTATGAATGTCTTTCAGTTGTTCCTTTTTTCCCCATAGTTGCTGATTTGGCTGGGAAGTGTTTGATTTTTCCAGTGAGTTTTAATGCCCAGGTATGGTGTGGGAGCTGAATTTAGGGGATTAAGAGTCTTGTTTTGAGTCTCTTGTACTTTGTTTTTAGCCTTAAACAGCATTTGTAGATGGTGGAGTTACTTTAGGAATGGTCCTTCTCCATGAAGCTGCTACTTCTGACATGGATGTGGGGAAAAGAAAAAGTGAGTACTGACAGTTTGCTCTCTGAACAAAGGCACATTCAGTGAGGGGGTTTGATACACCCTGATTCAACAGAAATGCTTTTGCACTGGGGGGTTTTGTTCTCTCCCCACCTCTAAGCTGACAGAATCATTTGGATTTTTGGCAGTTTTTGGAGTTGCTTAGCAAACTGCACAATAAATCCTTTTGGCAGATGGAGAGAGAGAAAGATGCTTTGCAGTGTTTTGCTAGTAGGGAGGAGAAGGGACTTTTTCTCAAAGCATTTCTATAAAATTGATGTGAATTTTTTATTTCTCAGTGACATGAGTAGAGCCTTCATCTGTAAACACTGCAGAAGGCTTTGGAAACCTGAGTCCCTGAGGTGTTTGCAGGGGCAGCTGCCCCATCTCAGCCTGTCCCTGTGCATCTCTTGCAGTCATGTGCATTGCTGGCATTGGCTTGGTGGTGCTGTTCTTCAGCTGGCTGCTGTCTGTCTTCAGGTCCAAGTACCATGGCTACCCCTACAGGTAAGGCAGCCTGGGCCCTGCAGGCCCTGCAGCTCTCAAAATAAAAACTCCTCTCAAAATGCTCCCCAGGCTTCTCAGAGTAGCAATATTTGTTGATAAAATCAGCAGAAATGTGTGGTTCATGGATATCGTGATTTTTCAATCTAACCAAAGCAAACTCTACTTTTCATGTCATTGCATGTTATAAAATACTTGTATTTTCAGAATATCTCAGCCAGTTTATACTCCCAACAAATGTATTTTTCTGTCTTCCATATTCATAAATCTTCATTATGAATCCTTCTTTGTGAGAGCAGGGAGGATGCCTGATGTTTTAAAGCTGCCTTCATTTGGGGATTGCTTGTGTAAGGAGTCCAATACTGTTATTGACCACTTCTATGTCTGTCTGACTGGTACAGACACACACACACCTTAGGTGTAATTTCTACTTCTAATTTCTACCTTTTATGCATTTTGAAGCAATAAGTACATGTTAAAGCACCAGTTCCTAATGATTTCACCATCTGCAATGAGCTGAATTTGTCTATAAAGCTAAACCCACTGACAGATATTATGCCTTCTCTATGAGAAATGTGTTCTCATTTAAAAATATCTAAATAATAAACCCTGTTATTTTATGAAGGCTTTTCTCAAGAGCAAAGGACAGCTGAAATTATTCCCTGTTTAATAATTGCTCAGCTTTTATTCTGGTTTCTGCAATGGTCTTAGATACTCCTGCTGACTTTATTGAAGGGAAGATGTGGTTGTCTTTGGTTTTGAGTTATTAGAAACTCATTTTGAAGTGAGTTTTTTTTACAACTTTTGCTGTAGCAGCATCAGGCCCATTTCTGATTTTCTTGGTGTTTATAAAAGCTAATGTTGCACACCTTTGTTTCTTATAAAATGAATGAGAATGCCTGTTTTTTTGCTCCTTGCAGTTTCCTAATGAGCTAAAGGATTCCAGTCTGTAACACCAGGAAGGTGCTGGCTCTGAACTTGGCTGTGGTGGAATGAGGAGCTCAACGTGTGTGGTTTGTGCTACCTCTGCTGACACTGAGACAGTGAAACACTGAACCAAAGACAATGTAGTGCCTTAAACACAGCAAGCAGTTTGCTCTGAAGGACACAGAGAGTTAAGATGCAATCTCTCTTTCATAAGCTTTACATCTTAAGCAGCTCTGCTTCTAGCAAAGATCAGAACATAATGCTTAAAACTACATTTCCATGGACTAACTAGAAATGGTACTTTGAATTCACTTGGATAATCTGTTTACCATGGGGTTTTCTTTCCCTTGAATTATCCCCTTATTTCCTGTGTGTGCATAGCAGGTGACAGCAGCTTCTCTGTCATGCCTTTTCATGGTTGAGGAAACAGCTTCATGTACCTGGAAATCTTTTCCTTCAGCCTGTGTGCAACCCTTGGAGCATGCTCCAGGTTCCAGTGTGGAATTGCAAGTCCTAGAGCTGTGTCTCATTTTTGAGAAGAGTTCTCAACTGCTGTATGATGCAAGAGGCTGTTTCACAGATGAAGGAGGAGTTTTCAACATGTTGAACAGTTATTCGTTAGTTAAATTTTTCTTTGCCAAATGCTGAAACTGCAATGTTTTAAGTTGTAAACTTTACTCAAAGCTGGAAAAGAAATTCTTAGACTGGCCAACACACACTCTTACAAACATGAACTAAAAGTACAAATGTAACTATCTGTGTGTTGCATGAATTCAAAGTTGCTAATTCAGGTTACTGCCTAGAGCCCTGGCAAACCAGCACATGCCAGATTTCTGGTCACTATATAAGTTCTTGCATTCTCCACTTGTTTTCTCCACATTTTTATCCTTTGGGCAGAGATGTTTGCTCCTGGGATAAATGTTGTTACCCCAGGACACACTTGATAGCCTTACAACTGAATGCATGTGCTGCTTGCTCTCCCCTTGTGTTCTCTCACCTCACAAAGATACTTTGCCTTAAGAATTCTTGAGTGGAAGACCTTGTGCCTCAGCAAGAGCTGTTGTGCAATTCAGCAGTTGTACTACAGGAAATCCTTGCAGCCTGATTCAGCAACACTTCCTTCCGTAGGCTCTGCTGCCCTTAGAGGTTCAGAGGCAGAGAGAGACTTTTGTCTCCTGCTTCTGCCTCTCCTCTCAAGGGGTCACAGAATCTGCATGTTTGAAATTGAATCTCAGAAGGGATTGTATCACTCCAAGCAAAAGGTTATTCTTATGCAGTTTTGCTGAATTAATACACATCTCAAGTGCCTTAACATTGCTAATTTTGTTGTTTGATGTTTCAACTGTTGAGATGCATTTTTTATGCCATACAGAACGATGAGCCTTAGAGGAACGGATAAATTGTGTGCCTGACTGGATTTTGGACAAGTTTCAATAAAACTTTTTAGTCTAATCCATGCTCCTGTGTCTTTTGAACTTTGACATAAAACAAGCCAACCTCTTTTCTTTCACTGTTGTTTCAACATGTTAATCACAGCCTGTCTGTACAGAGAGAGTAACCTGAATATGGGTGAGTAGACTGGATTAGTAGCCTGTATGTGTTTATCTGGAGAATCACATCCCAAAATGTCAGCTCTAGAGAGATGCTCATGTAGCCAGCTAATAGGATAAAGATTACATGATTATGGCTTGTCTTTGACAGCTGTCATGCTGTGAAACTCTTGGATTCCTGGAGTTCTAGACAGATCAGCTCCTGGTGTTTCTGGAGGTGGAATCTTGTTAGCATTGTAGATTTGCCTGGAACAGCTCAGCACTGCTGTGGCTTGTTTTCCTGCCCAGCTGGTAAAATGCTTCCCATAAACTTTTCCAGTTAGAATTTATTCTGTCCTAAAACCATCCAGTTCCATATTGTCTAAGTTTAAACAGTCACACCTCATGCAGGTGAATGCTGAATTCATGTTCACCTTCCACTGGAGGTGGCCATGATGTTGAGAGTTTGGGATTTTCCTTTTTTTTCCCAATGCTGAGATGAAAATAATGCTCTTTTTTTACAACAGTTTTTCTGCTCTCCAGGGTGAAGCTGAAGTGCAAGGAGGAGGAAACAGGTGTGGTAGTGGAGCAGAAGATGGAGTGCTTGCAAGGACCAGTGGCAGGTTTAGAGAGGATGAATTCTGGCAAGGTTTGACTTGTGCAGCACTTGGCTCTGGTTGGTCCCCAGGGTGATTCTTGGTGCCAGGGGCACTGGCACCTCACTGCCTGTTAATGCAGCACAGCTGGGGCCAGAACAGCACAGCAGAACAAAGGTGGCCAAGGCAACACGTTCAAGATGTGCTCTGGGGAAGCTGGGAACTGCTGAGGACATCTCCTTTAGAAAGGGAATCATTAAATAGCTCAGGAGTGCCCTGAAAGCTCACTGTGAGAGAACACTTGTGAGGAAGGGAGGAAATGGTGTATTCTGCAGCTGAAAATGGACTCTGTGGTTTTGGTAATGGGGCTGGCCTCAGTCAAAGCTGCTTTTTGCTGCTTTTGAGAAGGAGCTGTGGTGTGTTGAGAAGATATTTTGGAATAATAGCTCAAAATAATTTAGGGAGCTCTCTGTACTAAGTGCAAGGCAAGATAGTAAATTTAAATGGATTAACCTGTGTAATGGTTTGCATTATGTACAATTTACTGGATGTTCCTGCCTTCAAACCATTCCAGTGTTCAGCACAGAATGTGATTTTCATGAGGCCCTGGCACAGGGTGCCCAGAGCAGCTGTGGCTGCCCCTGGAAGTGTCCAAGGCCAGGCTGGACAGGGCTTGGAGCAACCTGGGACAGTGAAAGGGATGAGCTTTAATGTCCCTTCCAACACAAACCATAGTGGAATTCTGTCATAGGAAGGGGACCAGGACACCAGTTGGTTCATCACAGGCCCTCAGGTCCGGTCCAGTCCCGGTCCCTCAGGTCCTTCTGGTCCAGTTTATTGAAGAAAGCATCAAACACTTATACAGCAAATAATAAACTTATGAATATTCTGTAAGCCAAGCAATCTATTGGTTAAACTATACCATGAACTCTTCCACATTCCTTAGGGGTTACATCTCTCTTTTCTCATGTCTCTTTCACTATTTATTATCACACTACAGCTAGGCCCAAGGACAGGCTATCTTACAGGTGCAGGACTTGGAATTAGCCACGGTTTTGTACTTTTCCAGTCCTTAGCAGCTAAATTCCCAACAGAATTCTGTGACGGTGGTGCCTGGTGGTCACTCCTGCAGCTGAGCCTTTTCCAGCTGCTCCATGAGCTCTTCAGGGCCAGAGCTGCCCTGTCCTCCAGCAAGGTTGAAATGTGCCCAGCTCTGCATCTGCTGTGCTCTTGGTGCTCATGCAAATAACCTTAATTAATCCCCTGCTGGTGATGGCCATGAGGGTAAGAACCAGGGCAGGCAGGGGTGCCCATCCATGCCTGGAGAACGTGATGAGATGATGGCTGGCTGGGATTTCAGGAAGAAAATGTGGGTGCTTCTATGGTCACAACCACTGGGAGTGTAAGCAAATGGACAGCCAGGTTTGTTCTGAGCCCTCAGAACATAAAAACAGCAGGGATTTTTTGATTCCCAGCAAATCCAAGAGTTTTAGAAGTACTAAAGAAAATCAGCTTAACCTTCAAAACATTTGGAGCATCCAGAGAAAATCAGATGTGTGAATGGCTTCTGCTTGTTTGAGTGTGCTGCCCATGAACATCAGATGGTGCCAAATCGTGGAATCTTGCAGCCAAACTTGGCTGGGAGAGGAGAGCAGTCTGTAGTGTTCCTCCAGGGGCTGGTGGCAGTGCTTTGTGCAGTTTGTTCTAAAAAATACCCATTCTCTAACAGAAAAAAAACTGAAATCAGGTAATTTAAGAAGTTAAAATCAAGTTGTTATTTAAGAAGGTAAAGTGCTTTCATCTGCTGTGAGAAATAATTCTCACAAAGGATTTGAGAAAGTACTGGCACTTGGTTTCTGTGTTGGACCTTGGTGTTTGCTGTTTTCTCATGCTGGAAAAGTTTATCCTCAGCTACAAACCACTGCTCAAGTGACTCCACACCATTCTTTGGACTTTCCTAAGGGGAACAGAGCAACAGCAACACAAAGAACAAGCCCAGGCCCTTGAGTTAACATCACCTGTTTGCAGTTTTATGATGCTTTTTCTCTTAGAAATAGAGAGTTTCATTGCACAGAACCTGTTCCAATTAACAGCTCAGATCTTGATCATTCCTTCCAAATTAATTTAAGCATAGCCTTTTATTGGTCTGGATTAATTGTGCTACTTTTATCACAGATAATAATATGAAAGAGATGTATATGTAGTTTGTATTTCTAGGTCAGGAGCACATCAAGTTATTAAAATATCCTCTTGTCAATTGATAGCTATGCATGTCTTTCAGCCATGTTCCTTCAAAGTAGGCTAATATGTACTTAAGAGAACTAATTGCTGTCATTATGAAGAGAAACAATGGGTGTGATGAGACTCTGCAGTGGTTTGTCCTGCAAGCTGAGCTCTGAATCCTGTTTTTGCCAGGTTGTTGGAGCAGGGTTCCTGTCCGATTTTCGGCTGTTTGGAGGGCCTGGAAAGGCCCGGGGTGGCCTTGGGGCAGCCCACGCATCAAAGGACGAGAAGAGGCTTCAGTTCTTTTCTCGGTCTCTGTGTTTATTAATTGTTTATCTAAAAGATTTTCTCTCGGCCCGACAGAGCTCTGCTCAGCAGCCAGCCATGAGCACACTCCCTGCCCTCCGGGCGGTCACCTATCTTTATACCCAAAGTTACGTGTACAATATTTATCATTTTTCCCCAATACCTTTCACCCTTACTGACCAGTGCACTTTCAGTAATGACCAATCCCAAAGTGCCACCATCACCACAGAAGATGGAGGAGAAGAAGAAGAAGAAGAAGGACAGGACACACCCCAATTCCTCCATCTTACTTCTCTAAACCCCCCTGTACAGAAATCCTAAACCCTGTGTCTCACCCTCTAATTAACCAATCCCTTCACCATTCACCCCGGTGAAACCCTCCTGTCCTCATACAGGTGTCGTCTCCTGTGTAGGATCAAAGTGCAGCCACCAGACACTTCTGGAACATTCCAGGACTCCCGAGCCCCCCAAGGGTGGTCTCGGTGACACCTCAGTCCTGAGGTGCTGAGATCCCACAGGGAAGGCTCCTGGCGCTGGGGAATTACCTGGGTGCATTACCAGGGCTGCTGGATGGCAAATGTTTCCCTGCAGATGCACTCAGTGCCTGCCTGCTCACAGATTTCAGTCTACAAAAACATTCTGTGCTTCTCCAATCTGTTTTTTGACAGCTTCATGATAATCTCAGGTTTTGTCTTTTGGAGTAATTGCTGGGAGATGGGAGCATTTCCATTTTTACTTTGTCTTGACCTTTTCTCACAGTAGGAATCCTTTTACATCTGTGACTTCAGATAGAAGTTATGAACTGGAGGCAATTAAATTTGGGTTTTTCAGCTGCTCTCAAATACCTTCCCCAAGGAAACAGTGAAAGAATAAAATATTACAGAGCAATAGTAATAAATCTGTGTTATTCTGAATCAGTGGGATATTAGTTGGTAATGCTGACTAAATCCCTTGAGGAGGAAAATGAATGTTTTGTGTTCTTATTTTAATCACACAGTTGGGATCCTAATGCAGAGCTAAGACTGGGTAATGCTTCCTGTTCCCTTCATCTCTGGTGGCAGAGCACCTAGAATGGCTTTTTTCAGTGTTTAATGGAATTTGTGGCAGTCAGTTAATATGGATTTTTTTCCTTCTAAAATCAAGTGAGAAGGCAGGTGATGCTTTGGTCCTCCCCAGCATGAGACAGAGTTTGGTAACAAAGCTGCTGCTAAATCTGCTCTCTGCTCTGACTGAATTCAGCAGATACAGGGGGCAGCTTTGGGTAAAATGTTACTTTCTAAAGCAAATTGTGCTTAGACCTGTTAGGAGAATTTCCCTGGGAGATGTGTAAGCTTGGATGTGCTGAGGTGTGAAAGTGCTGTTGATTCTATTGTCACAGAATGAGATGGGTGTTAGGGGTGATTTGCTTGGGCTTTTTCTCATGTTTCATACACTGCTTTATGAAACCAGGTGGGTAGGTACGGTTTTGGGGTTTTTTTTTAGTTTCTGCAGAAAAATATATTAATTTTCAAAACTGTTTTTCTTATCAACAAGTGGCTAATGCTTGTCACCTGTTTCAGAGTCTGTGTGGTACTGGGCTTGGCTTTGGGAGCCTGGTGAAGCCTCCAGAGTTCAGTCATCTTCTCACAAAAACCTGCAACAACTTTCCTTTGAGGAGGGCTGCATTCCAGTCCTCCTTTCACAACTTCTAACATCTGACAGGAGTGTAGAAGCTGCTAGTACCAGCAGGCAAAATTGTCCTGGCACACTTAGGTGTAGCTGCCAGTGATGCATTTCCTTATCTCAGAGTTTTCTTATCAGAAAGAAGTTGTAGCCAAGCTGGGCTGAAGCTGCCCCGGGCAGGGTTCCTTGGGGCTGTGTGTGGTTTATGTCATCCCTGTCCTGCTGTCTTTGTGCTTGGGGAACTCTGCTCCAAGCTTGCTTGTGGGTTTGGAGTTCCTGGGCTGGTTCCTGCAGAGGGTGAGGGTCCTGCTGGTGATCCCCATGGAGGAGGAGGAGGGTCAGGATGGTGAGCCCTGGAGGGGCTGAGGGTCATTCTGGTGATCTACAAATCAGGAGGATCACTCTGGTGATCCTGTTGAAGGAGGAGGGTGGTTGTGGTGATCCTTGCAGAGGAGGAGAGTTGTTCTGGGGATCCTCATGGAACAGGAGAGTTGTTTTGGGGATCCCTGCAGAGGAGGACAGTTGTTGGGGATGCTCATGGAGCAGGAGGGTGGTTGTGGTGCTGTTGGTAGGAGTTTGGGCAGATGCCCTGTGTTACTGTTAGTAAGGATGATGTGTCTGAACGCTGTGATTCACCTGCTGTGGTAGGCTTGATGTGACCCAAGGCCACGGTTCCCCTGCGATGAGGTGGCTCCTGTCCTGTCCCGGTGTGACACTGCCTGTCC